CAGCCTGGATTACGCCCAGAGCTGATAAAAAGCTGCAGCTGATGCTGTTGGCGGGTGGAGAAGGATCTCCAGCTGCGCCAAATAACCCGGCAGGGAAAGGCACCACAGGCCAGAAACTGGTCGGGTCGGGTGTAACGTGGATCCGATGTCAGCGACGCCACTTCGGCCACCAGGTGATTTGGCAGGGGAATGAAGGAGGACCGCCCCGAGCTGTGCCCTGGGCTGGGAGCCCTCTCCCAAGATCCTGTGGGGACTGGGGACACCTTTGGGCTCCCACCTGGCCTGGTAGGTTGGTGGTCCCCGAGGGGATGCTCTCCTGGCACAAGCGGTACCCCTGAGCGCATCCCCGCTCATCGCACCCTGGCAGACGCCCCCACCTTTCGCCAGGGCCACCTGCGCTCGTCTCGGGGACACTTTGGATTGCTCCGAGCCACAGAACTGCGGCAGCCGGGCCAGGGGGGTTGAGGCAGGAACCGGGACGGGTCTCAGCATCCCGCCGCCTCCCAGACGGAGCCCCGCAGCCACGGGGGACGCGAAACGGAGGAGAAAGGAAGGAAAAACTCTGAGGAAGCTGGAAGCTCTCGACATAGTTAAAAACCAACATTGCTCTTCAAAATAGATGTGATTGCGCTCCTTGTGAGTCATCGAGCAGAGACACCAAGATTGCTTTGTGCCAGGGACGAGCCCGGGCGCTGATTGTGTGCCGCCCGGATTTGTATAAAACAGACCATGGATGGCATGTCAGAGTTTACAGCTCGCATACATTTTCAACAGTGAGCTTTGCAAAATGTATCAATGTAATCTCTGCCTCCTATATTCCGTGTTGATTAGACACGATTTCTGGCTGGATTTTCAGAAAGCTCAAGTGCTTTTTTAATCACTACAGAAGCTCATTATTGCTTTCCAGTGACTCTTATGTCCTTCACTTCTCCTTTCAGATTAGAGTCTATAGTCAGATGAATATTGGATGATTTCATTACATACAAATGCAATCAACAGTTTTGCATAAATTTCTCCTCTTTTCTTGAGTTTCAATTGACCTCAGCACCCGTGGAGGCAGGCGCAATACACATGTAAATGAGCTGGCGTTGCTGCAAAGACACGGATGCGGAGAAACAAGATAAACTGTCAGATAATATTCAGGATTTTTTAAGAGATCAAAAAATACTTCCTCGTTCAGCCGAGCCCTAAAAAAAATGGCACCTTCAGTTGCTGGGGAATTTGCTTTTGTTTTGCTTGGTGTCTGGCTGCGGACAAAGGCCGGGAGAGGCTGAGCAGTGCCAGCGCGGCTGCAGTGACAGCGCGGGGACGGCAGCGGGGTGTCCGCAGCGTGCGGGTGGGGACGGCGCCGGTGGGCTCTGGGCAGAGCTGGGTTTGGTGGGTGAGTTCCTGCTCGTGGCAAGTACCACCAGCTCCTGCTCTGGCGTGATGGTCTCAACCAGGGGATACTGATTTCGGACCCTCCCTGGTCCTCCTGGGTGGACCTGAGCATCAGCCCTGTGACAGAGGGACCTACACGCACACCCTGCACTGGCAGAGCACGGGGGAACCATGCGTTCAAAATATATTTAAGCTAACACTCCACACGAACAATCAGGGCTAATTTAAACAAACTATAATTAAACATAAAGGACCTCTTGGTAGGGAAGTCAGAGAAAACTGTCAGCGGTTACTTTGGTTGCGAAGCCCTTACCTTTAAAAGAATAATTTTTGTGCTAATGCGAGCAATCCAGCACTCCCACACTCGCCTTCGGGGGCTGATGGGGAAAGAAACTCTTGGGTTTCTTTTGATACTTTTACGTGCTAATCTTCTTAACAGATTTTTAATTAATGGGAACAAGAGCACTTTGCAGCCGTGAAATCTATTGGTGCAATTGCCTTGTGGATTATTCCCATTAACCACACAAATTACCTGTCTCCAGCCCGCCAGCCCCACCGGGGAGCTCCCCGTGCTGGACACACCGCATGGCCCCATTCTGAAGCAATTTTGATAAAATAAACTCTCTAATCAGGTAAATAATTCCATAAGGGAAATTGCTGCCTTCCCGCAGCCTTCCTCCAGTGGGACCTGGCTACTTTCATGGGAATGCAACACGCCTCCAATTACAGACAAATCTCCTGCTCAGAGACCGTTTGGAAGAAGCCCACGGCACATGGGACCCCCTCGAACCGCAGTGGACGAGGAATTAAGGCATTTAAGCTGTCAGCCGGAATCTGGCCCGAACCCTGATTACCTGGGGGGACGTGCGGCGTATTTAAGTTCGTGTCCGTTGCAATTTCCTCACCCCCAGCGTTGATCTCGAATGACTCGCGTCTGTGTCAGGTTCCTGCCCGGGGTCCCTCTGACACGTGGCCCCGGGCTCGGGGACACCGACCTTTGGGCAATTAAGGACGTCCAGGCTGGCCTGAGCCTGGAGAAGTGGAAATGTGCTGCTGC